AGGAGGCCTTGCAACATCCAGTGGTTAGAATGTTGATTAAGACAAAATGGAAAAGTTATGGACATTTTTTCCTCAGGTAAATAATTTTTACCTTTCTCATTATGTTTGTAAGTTAAGATCACATACCCAAATGCACTGGTGAAGTGCACCAAAACTAAATAAATTCTCATCCCTCTAATAGAAAAAAGGCTTGTTTTTTACTCAGCCTTCAAGTGGCATTGTATGTCATCTTCCTGCTGTTCTTGTCATTTTCTCTGCTGTATGGTTCAACCAAACCAGACCCCACCCAGTACAGCGGTGGAGCAGACCTGTTGTGTGGATTTTGTGAGATTGTCACTCTTGTCATGGTTGTCTTTTACATGTGTGAAGAAATGAATCAAATGAGAATGTAAGTGACTTTTAATGCTGAGAACACAACTAAAAGCATTGAGAATTATTTACATCAGATGAATAAAAATTGGTTTATTAGTTCCTCCTTTGGAAAAACCCCTTCTTTTAATGGAAGATTTGGTGTTGAATCAACTAATAATTATCCCCTTAGTGATATTTTTCTCTATTTTTATCACTTGCCAGCTTGATATTGTATAGACATAGTAAGGGTAAATTTTTTCCTAGTTTCTCATGGGAGTCAATGGGTTTACCAAATGTGCCACATGTACTCAGCATTTTTATTACAAAAATAAAAATTTTTGTTCATGAATCAAGCTCTCCTGATGGAAATGATCCAGTGGAGTTATTAATCTTTTTTGCTTCATCTTTATAGAGAGAGGTATTCTTATTTCTCAGAGTGGATGACCCTATTTGACTTGTTAGGCCTGTTGCTGATACTGTGTATAATACCCTTGCGGTTATCTGGTAGCAAAGCTCAATGGACAGTTGCATCTTTGGCTATATTGTTTAATTTCATGAGGATTTTTAAGTTCTCATGTGTGACAAGGTTGGTAACATATATAAAATATTTAATTTTAAGCTCTGACTTGACATGCTTTATTTCGGTTGTATATGCATGATTAACGTTCACAGGGCTCTCACTTGGCTAATGACCCACATTAACCGATAAGTAAAGGAATTATCTCTTTAACTCCACAAGTGGGGTGAAAATAACAGTTTCTAGGAAAGCAATTTTTATTTCAATGTACTAATTATAAATGCATGGACGTTTTAATGTACGATTTTAAGTCGGGATTGAAATACAGCCCAGTTTAGTTATCTTACTCAGACTTTCATCTTTTCCAGGACTACAGGACTATACACAAAAACCTTGGCTAAGATCATTCAGCAAGACTTGACAAGATTCATGGCAGTTTTTGTTGCAGTCTTCCTTCCCTTCTGTGGGGCTTTATTTTTATCTCTCCGTTCATCCAATCAAAACCAAGAATTAAGGTGCATCTAGTAATTGTATTTATTTCTTATTCCTTCTTGTTTGAGTTTAGTCTGAGTTATTCTGCGGGAAAAAAATGTATAATGCTTTTAGCTTTCCAATATTGAAAACGCTCGACCAGTTTCAGAGAAATACAATGCAATTGCCATTAAGACTTATTTAGTCTACTCGACATGCATATATTCACAAATGTTTTTTACGTTGTTTTAAAACTATTCTTCATAATCAGTGGCTTTGGAGATGTATTGTTGAGCGGTGTTCTTGCTCTCTCTGAGCAACGATCCATTGTGGCAGATTATTCAAGCTTCAAGTGAGTAACTGACTTAAGTACCCAGTTATATAATCAGCATGGATCGACAGCACACTCACACCTCGCCTGACCCAACATTAGCCCTGACTTACATTTCAATGTTGTTAAGTTAGGGGAGGGTAAGGTGCGTAGTTGCTTACATTGTTTCATTCATAAAGGTATTATATGCAATACGTTACTCAACGTTTTACAATGGTAATCGCTGTGCTTGTACCGTAATTGTTGTGGATCTTGGTTCTCTGGCAGTTGGCTCTCCACTCTGTTGATGCTAGCGTACATGGGAACTGTACTTGTGA